ATAGAAATATCCAAGTATAGTATATTAGTGAACAGTATGAAATATTTCTGAGTTAGAACTATGCAGCTCATATTTTAGTTTCTAATTTGAGGTTTTTTCTTTCCATTGTGAGAATAATTTTTCTTTGAAAGACAATTGGGATTAGTTTGTTGATGCAAACTTTTTCTATCATTATCTCATTCAGATTTTAAATAACACAGCTAACAGGCTAACAGTTTTTGTTTTCTGGGGTCTCACCAATAGTGGACTCTCCATACCTATAGATCCCATGAAGACTGAAGAGTCTTCATTTTGAAGTCATTTTATCTATTATTACAATTGGTATAGTTTAAGTATTTGCCTTCAGAGCTTTCTTTAAAGGTTTTTTTTTAAAAAAATCTAGTTTAAATGGGACTTTTTAGCAGAAACTATATGGAAAGAATGCTACAATTGAAGGGAAGACATTTTTCTCTATTATGGTGTTTCCTTAATCAATTGTAAAGTAAAGGCTTGGTACCAAGTGTAAAAAAGAGGTCAGGCTGATATATGATGCTATTTTTAGGCTAGCTGGTTAACCACGAGTTTAGAGCTATGCCAATAAAACAAGTGTATTTATTATTTCTATATATTTTTTAAAACTAGGCATTTATAGGTGTACCATGAATGACTTTGTTTAAAACTGGGATCAAGTTGAGGTGAAGTAAACAACTGGTGCTAACAGTCCTATTAAGCCAAGACAGCATAGAAAGAAAATACATAAAATGTACAAGGCATTGGAGAAAAGTTATACGATCACTGCCTTCATAATAGGTTGATTAATATGCACTGTGAGTAAGGCTGGACAAATATCAACTGAATAAACAATTTTAAAAAATTTTGAAGTGGAAGCCTCTATAGACCTCCCATATTTCTCTGACATATTTCTGCAAGTGTTTTAAAAAAACCCAGGATCTAGGGTAATGAGGAGAATAAAACAAGAATTAAAAAGTCTCCTCTGATGATCACAGGCAAACCTAAATTAGTGATCTTGAAGATCAAGCATAAAATCTCAAAGTATAGAACAGAAACCACAAAATAAATATTTATTGAACACCTATTACATGTCAGGCACTGTTCTAAGAAAAAAAGAAAAAGGCAAGCAGGAAGGAAAAGACAAGACTATGAAGGAGGGATCAAAGTATACTTTATATGTAATTATTAGGTAATCCAAAGAAGAAGAAAAAGAAGAAAAAGAGAAGCAACAATTAGAAAAATATTAGAAGAAAATATCCCTGAGATGAGAAAAGGTTTGAGGCTTAAGAATGAAAGAGCTCATAGAAGTCCAAGAAGTAATGAGGGTAAGGTGGGGAAAATATCTTGATAAAATTAAGGAACCATAAGGATAAAGAGAAAAAAACCTCACAGTTATTCATAAACTTCCAACTGTAAAGAATGGATTTCCTACAAAGGGAAAAAAATCAAACTGGCTTTGAAATTCACATCTGCAATACTAGAAGCTAGAAGAAAGTGGACACAATATCTACAGACTAATGAAAGAAAAGGACTACAATCCAAGAATCCTATACCCAGCAAAACTGTCATTTCCTCTGCCAGAGGAGATGATATTCAATAACTAAATTGTACCACCCAAATATACTGCCTGAAAAAAATATAGTGCAGTTCACAATCTTTACTTCAGTACATGTGGCCCTGAACAAGGGACTAGTTGAAAAATTGTGGTACATTCACAACATGGAGTATTATACAGTTAGAACTATGTATATCCCATTTGTACAAAATAAAAATAGATTCCATATATGTCTAAGTTGGTCTTTATAGGATTGTAATATGAAAGAACATACACTAGGTTAGTATTGTGGCAGGAGGGGTAAGGGATGGAGAATGAGGTTCTGATATGGAAAGAACGAGGTTCCTATGATAATGACAGCAGACTGAATATACCATTATGTAAAATTATGTGTGTCATAAAGATATTCATGGAAGAATAGCACTAGAATATTAGTTGTGGTTACCTTAGGGTATTATTCCAAGTAACCTTTACTTAACTTTTTTAGGTTTTTATGTTGTTTGAATTATTTACAATGAGCATATATATTTACATAACTAAGAAGAAGCAATACAGTTATTTGCAGTTTGAAAGAAGACTTGCTTTTTCTTAAAATTAAAAAAAAATATATAATTTTAATAGCTTTCTCAAAGATCAAAAGCATCTTCACCAAAGGCGAAAAAAGTGAGAACAGAGTGGTGTGGGCTTAAGAAAATCAAGTATTTGAAATTGGAACTATTAGAAGAAAATATAGGGAAAAAGCTCCATGACATTGGTCTAGGCAATAATTTTTTGGCTATGACTTCAAAAAACACAGGCAACGAAAGCAAAAATAGACAAATGGATTACATCAAACTAAAAAGCTTCTGCACAACAAAGGAAACAATCAACAGAGTGAAGAGACAACATAAGAATGGGAGAAAATACAAACTATACATCAGACAAGATTAATATCCAAAATGTATCAGGAACTCAAATAAATTGATAGCAAAAAATCAAATAATCCAATTACAAAATGAGTAAAGAATCTGAATAGACATTTCTCAAAAGACATACAAATGGCCAATGGATTTATGAAAAAATGCTTAACATCACTAATCACCAGGGAAATACAAATCAACCACAATGAGATATCACTTCACACTTGTCAGAATGGCTATTATCAAAAAGAAAAAAGATAACAAGTATCGAGGATGTAGAGAAAAGGGAACCCTCGTACATGGTTGGTGGGAATGTCAATTAGTACAGCCCTTATGGAAAACAGTATGGAGGTTCCTCAAAAAAATCAAAAATAGGACTATCATATGATCCGCAATCCCATTACTGGGTGTGTATCCAAAGGATATGAAATCAGTCTGTTAAAGAGATATCTGCACTACCGTGTTCACTGCAGCATTATTCATTTACAATAGAGATATGGAATCAACCATGTGTCTATCAGTGGGTGAATGAATAAAGAAAATGTGGTATGGGCCGGCCCGGTGGCGCACTGCTACACTGCGCCTCTTGGGAGTGCGGCGGCGCTCCCGCCGAGGGTTCGGATCCCACATACAGACCGGTTCCCGCTCACTGGCTGAGTGAGGTGCGGGCCCAACACCGAGGGTTGAGATCCCGTTGCCGGTCCCGGTCTGGTACGGGCGCGACACTGAGGGTTGCAATCCGTTGCCGGACACGAAAAAAGTCAAAAAAAAAAAAAAAAAGAAAAAAAGAAAATGTGGTATACTACATTTGGCCATGAAATACTATTTGGCCATAAAGAGGAAGGAAATCCTGTTATTTACAACAACATAGATGCACCTGGAGGACATTATTATTAAGCCAGGCACAGAAAGACAAGTACCTCACGATCTTACTCATATGCAGAATCTAAAAAAATTGGTCTCACAGAAGTAGAGTAGAATGGTGGTTATCAGGGGCTGGGGTGTTTGGGGCCGGAGGAGGGCAGGGAATGGTTTGAGTAGATGTTGGTCAAAGGATACATAATTTCAGTTACATAAGAGGAATAAGTTGATGAGATCTATTGCATGACATGGTGACTATAATTAACATATTGTGTCCTTGAAAAATGCTAAAAGAGCAGATGTAAAGTGTTCTCAACACAAAAATGAAAAGTATGTGAGGAGGCCGGCCCGTGGCTCACTCGGTAGAGTGCAGTGCTGATAATACCAAGGCCACGGGTTCGGATCCTATATAGGGATGGCCGGTTGGCTCACTGGCTGAGCGTGGTGCTGACAACACCAAGCCAAGGGTTGAGATCCCCTTACCGGTCATCTTAAAAAAAAAAAGTATGTGCGGTAATGCATATATTAATTAGCTAGATCTAGTCATTCCACAATGACAATATGTTTTACACAGTAAATACATACAAATTTATCTGTCGATCAAAGAAAATAAAAACAAAAGAAAATCAACTATAAAAGCGATGTATGGAAAAGGTTTGGCTGGAAAGGTCTGATATGAGGGCTAACATGTAAAAACTCAAAAACTCAACAACTGTATACTTGGTATTCAAGATCACAAAAACCTCTATTACTAGTCCTCCTGATAAGAATCAGGAAGAAAGGGAATACCATATAAGATTAGCTTTATGATCATCATTAGTTGGCTGACACAAGAGGAGAAAATAGAAATTTTATTAGATTTCCTGCCAAGACATTTTCTGCTTGGATGAATGAAGCAGGACTTGGTCACATGTTAATGAGTTTCATAGAAAGGGAGTTCAAGCATGAGTGAAGCTGCCCTCTGACATTAAAATAAAGCAAACATAGGATTTTCCCCAAGTTAAAAGCCTCCTATGACACACTTTTGGATTGTGGGAGATACTGAGTCCAAAAATGTTTAACAAAAAGCTAGACAATAGTCAATTAAATGAATTCATTTGCAAAATGTGAGTACACGAATATGAAAGAATAAAATAATTTTGATGCTGTCTTTTCAACTATTATTTTTGATGCAAACATCCTCAGTAGACTCATCCCTGAAAGTGGAAATGAGCAGGCTGATAGCACAGCCATTAGGAGAAAGTCAATGCTGATAACCTCTACTTGATGATCCTCTGAGATTGCATCTTTATAATTCATAAAATTTGCTGAAGGTCACA